ATTTGTTTGCAGATTTGGTTCAGATCTGTTATTTCTTTGCTGAGTTTTTGTCCAGTTGACCTAGCTCTTCGTGTCAAAAGGTACTGAGGTCCCCTATTACAACAGTGTTATTAATTATATGGGTTTTCTTGTCTGTTAAGATTTCTCTTATATAGTTTCGTGCTCTGATATTTGGTGCACACATGATTATGATTGTTATCTCATCCTCTTGCAGCTTTCCTCTAACAAGTATGTAGTGACCTTCTTTATCTCTTTTGATTGTTCTCGGTTTGAAGTTTACACTGTCTGCAAACATAATAGCTATGCCTGCTTTTTTCTGGGTTCCTGTTGCATGGAGGATTGTTTTCCATCCTTTGACTTTCAGTCTATGGGTTTCCTTTTGAGTAAAATGTGTTTCCTGTAGACAGCATACTGTTGGATGTTGTTTCTTAATCCACTCTGCCAGTCTGTTTCTTTTGACTGGTGAATTGAGGTCATTTACATTTATGGTTATAACCAGTATATGTTGACTTATCGTTGTCATGTTAGTTACTTGCTGTTGGTTTCCTACTTTTCCTATCTGTTTAATTGCTTACTCTTCTTGATGGCTCCTTTCTATTGCTGTTTTTGAAACTGCAGTCATTTTTTTCTCTGTCTAGAATATCTTTTAGTACTCTTTGCAACAATGGTTTGGCACTCATGAAGTTCTTTGGTTGTTCTTTGTCATGGAAATATTTTATTTCTCCACTGAATCTGAAGGAGAGTTTCACAGGATACATCAGTCTTGGTTGGAAGCTATTTTGTCTCAGGACCTATAATACTTCACTCCAAGTTCTTCTCAATTGGATGGTTTGTGTTGAGAAGTCTGCCGTGATTCTGATGGGCTTTCCTTTGAAGGTAATCTGTTTCTTTTCTCTAGCAGTTTTTAATATTCTGTTCTTTTGCTGAAGATCTGGAATCTTGACTATTATATGTCTGGGTGTAGTTTTATTTTGGTTATGGTTAGTTGGAGTTCTATATGCCTCATTTACCTGTATATCAGGTTCTGTTTCCATACTTGGGAAATTTTCTGCTATTATTTCTGCAAATATTCTTTTTATGTCAGTTGTGTTGCCTCCTGTTGTTTCATTGACTCCTATTAGTCATACATTATTCCTCTTTGCCTTGTCTTGCAGCTGTTGACTTGATTTTTCCTGGTTCCTTGTTGCTTTTAGGAGATCCTTTCTTTACCAGTCGCTAGTTGCCATGCTGTCTTCAAAATCTGAAATTCTATCTTCAGCTTCATTCAAGCGGTTTTGGCAGCTTTCAATGGAGGCTTCCATTTCCTGGAATTCTCTCTGAATCTGGCTCATGTGTTCTAAGTCATTTCTACATTTTTTATTTAACTTTTCTGTTCTTAGCCTATGTTCTTCTATTTTCTTATATGTTTCTTCTTCAGATGTGCTGAGCATTTCTTTCATTATTATTGTCATTTCATTGTTTGCCTCAGAGATTATTTCTCATCTGATCTCTTCTATGGCCTGAGGAAGCTGCTTCTTTACTTCCACTGCAATCATTTCAGCAATTTCAGGTGTGTGTTTACCAAGTTCTCCTATGCCGATGTCTCCTGGACTTGTTCTGAGTGGAGTGGAGTTCTGAGATTGTGTTTTAGTCCTTCATCTTGTCATATTTGATACCAGATGTAGAAAGCTCAGTCTCCCTCTTCCCTGGCAGCTCAGCAAAGGCCACTAGTGTCCCTAGTTTTCCTGGTGGTCAGGTGTGCCCCTCAGTGTCCACTGAGATACACTGCTTAGTCTGGGGTTTTCTCGCAGATGGTGAAGTATATTTAGTTCTCCCAGGTCTCAGACATGGACCGTGATGTCAGCTGATGTCAGTCCACTTGATCCAGCGTCCCCTCGCAGTTCATGGCGTGTGTATGACCCAGAATCAGATGCAATGGTGGCGCAATCCCAGACCATCAGACCTGTGTCTCTAGGCAGTTCAGGGTACAGGCAAACCCAGACACAGACTGCAGAGTCAACAGTTGTAGACCACCTGATTCTGTGTCTCCAGGCAGTTCAGGATGCACACAGGAGCTAGATGTGGGCCACACTGACAGATCACAGACTACCTCTCTCTGTGACCTCCAGGAGGTTGGGACACAAGCAAGGCCCAAACCAAAACCGCGGTGTCAGCAGCTTGTGGCGCGCCCACTCCAGTACCTCACTGGGCACTGAGCATGCTCAGAGAGGGCCCACACACGAACCTCAGTGAGAGCAGTTCACGGGCCTTCTGAGTGAGGATCTTCTGTCTGCACTGGGTGTGTGGAGGCCAGAGACTCAGACTGTAATGGCAGCAGGATCATGAGTTGCGTGCTCTGCCCCCAGGAAGTAGATGGGAAGTACCTGGTTCTCTTGGCACCGTTTGCCTGGGAACTGTACTGTCAGTGGGTCGCAGCGCGCCTGATTTTGTGCCTCCTGTCAGTTCAGGTTGCGCAGAGGAGCCAGACATAGGCTGTACCCACAGTGATCATAGACTGCCCCTGTCTGTGACCTCCAGGAGGTCGGGGCACAAGCAAGGCCCAAACCGGAACCGCGGTGTAAGCAACTCATGGAGCACCCACTCCAGTACCTCACTGGGTGCTGGGCATGCACAGAGAGGGCCCACAGGTGAACCCCGGTGAAAGCAGTTCTCAGGCCTCCTGAGTTAGGATCTCCTGTCTGCACTGGGCACACGGAGGGTGGAGACTCTTACATGGTCTTTTGTGACTGGCTTCTTTCACTCAGCATGTTTTCAAGGTTCACTCATGTTAACATGCATTGGTACTTTCCCTTTTATAGCTAACTAGTACTCCACTGTATGGATACACATTTTATTCATCTGTTCATCAGTTGATGGACATTTGAGAGTTTTTATTTTTTACTGTTATGAATAAAGCTGTCATAAACACTCATGTTCAAGTTTTTGAATGTATACGCTTTCATTCTCATACACAGATGCTTAGGAGTAGAACTGCTAGGTCACATGGTAACCCTCTGAGTAATTCTAGAAGAACAATCACACTATTTCCAAAAAGGCATGCACAATTTTACACTTTTTTATTTGACTGTCATCTGAAAATGCCACATCACATTCTACTCACTCTAATGACTGGCTTGAATAAAGTCACTCCTAAGAATGATGATGTATAATCAGGATATTACCTAGTTTCTCTGTAGTACCAATAATCTAAACAATCATCAATGTCTATACACACTAACAGAGTGCAGGATATAACAGCAGCTGACAGTTAAGGAGAAAGCCTTGTGTCTACACAGCATAGGACAGCTTACATTTGTTGTAAGTATTCTTTGTGATGGCTTTCACTGAATAAATGTCCTCCAAAACATGTCTCTCCATGCATGCATGCAAGGTATGCTTTCTGCAAACCATAGTGAAGATAATTTAATTACTGAAATAATGTTCTAATCACTTGGCTTTTGATCTCACCTGCCTAACTGAATCCATTTATCTCCAGAGAGACTGTGCTTTGCTTCCAAAAGCATGTAAGACAGAGCTGATGAATACTTAGTTTCCTACCATCAAAAACATGTTTTCCCAGGTTATAGTCCAGCTACAATCTAGAGAAAGGATTTTTTTTATGCTCTTTAAAGTCAAAAGTCAGCCTTGAAGGGGGAGTTTTAAGACAGAGGAAAGAAGGGAGAGAAGAAATTCTCACCTCTTTTTGGTCCCAGGGATTTTTGATAATATGGGAACAAGTGAAGGGGTGAGAAATATACACTGAAGTGCTTTAGATGATGAATTCTTCAAACCGTGCTGTGGGATCCTGGGGTATCACTGTACCAAACCACCAATTTGAATCACCACCTATAAAGTATGAAAACACTTTTTTTCACAAGTTAATGTAGTATTTGCTTATGCTTTCTAATTACTGTCAATCTGACAGGCAAAAATTGGTATCACAATGCAGTTTTGACTTAAGACTTCTACTATCATAAATAAAAGTATCTTGATATTGTAAGGGAAAATTTTTATGCTGTGTGGTTGAGAAGTGTCTGCTCTCCTAGTAGGTCTTTTGACACCCTCAGTTTTGAAAGGATCCTTTATTTGAAGAATATTAGCCCTTTATCTATGGTAAATTCTTGCTTCCATTTTTCTGTCTTTTGATATTATCATTAGTGTTTTTCACCACGCAAAAAGTCTTAAATTGTTACACAATCATTCTTAACTTTTATCATGTGTGGATTTTGAATCAGTGAAGACCCTTTATTACATTCAAGTTACAAAGAATTCATTTGTGCTTTCTTCTCGTAATTGTATGCAGTAGTTTCATTCTTTGCCTTGAGCTCTCTGGAAACAAATTTGCAGTTTATTTTCCTGTATAATGTGTGATATGAATTTATCTTTTTTCCCCCAAATAGCTGACCATTTATTTAAAAGTCCACCTTATCCTAGTGTTCCAAATTATCAGCCTCACCATCTACCAAATATCTATATGCTCTTGGGCACACTTATCAATTTTTCTATTCTACTCCATTGGTCTGTCTCCAAGATTCTCAAAAAGCCACTCCACACAATGAGATTGCATTGAAGTATATAGAGCGTACTCTAAGCTCTTCATCTGTATTCATTCCAATCTCATGCTTTAAATTGTATACTCAAATAGGTATCAAGCTAGTATTTCCAGTTCACACCTCTACCCCGAGATTCAGATCAGAATATCAAATCAGCTACTAGTATCTCCTACTTGATGTACTAATTCTCAAGAAACAAAACTAGTTCCTCCTTCAGTTTTTCCCATTCCTCAATGAACAGTAACTCCACTACTTCTATTACACAGGCCTATTATCCACATCTTCCATAACTACCTAGCTAGTCTCTTCTTTCTGCCCTGTTAACATGTAAAGTACATGTCCTTCCCTCTACCACCTTCCCATTTCACTCAGAATGAAGGCCCAAAACATGCAGTTGTTCTTCCAGACAGCTCTCCTATTTGTCTGGAATGGACTGAAAGCTATCTTATTTTTCTTAGTGCTACAAAAGAAATTTGGATAGACCCAACGGAAAATAATGGGAGCCACCTTCAACTATTTCTAATTAAACCCAACCAAGAAACAGGGATCAAAATTGTATCCTCATTTAGTAATCATGAAGTAGCTGAAATGACTGATATTTTTATTTAGCTAAAAATTTTTCCACTTAGCTTTTAAAAACCAACGCTCACACTTCCCTGGCAGTTGCACTACAGTTCCAAACTCAAGTTCCCTCATGTAGGAAAGCTACAATGGACAGAATGTATACCCTTGATGCTTGGTTTTCATTTTCACTTGGGTGAAAATGAGCTGAAAACCTGCAGCAGTACCCCACATCACAGTCTCAGCAACATGCATCCCCTCTCCACTTCTGTTAATTTTTCTTGAACCTCAAGCAAGTTACAGTCAGTTGATTCCCTATGTCCTTTCCTTTGGGTTTAAACCAGTATCTTATACATAAAAGTCAGCAAAAAGACAAGAGTGCCATGGTGAGAAAAAAGCTACATCTGGTACCTGACAGTCACGGCTCTACAAGTTCACCTCCTTAACAAACCATGTTTATAAACACAGTGGAATATGAAGCAGCTCATTACAGAAAGGCACAAACAAAAGGCTAGAGTTTGAGAAAGAGCACAGAACTACCAAATTAGAAAGCTAATTATGTTCCCTTCAGTATCAAAGAATGTCACGGACAAGCATTTCTTTACTCACAAATCCGGTCTCTACATTCAACAACCAAAAAGGGCCTTGCACAGTGGTGCATACCTGTAATCTCAACTATTCAGGAAGCTGAGGGAAGAAGATTACAAGTTCAAGTCCAGTTTAGGCAAAGTGAACAAGACCCTATCTCAGAATAAAAATTTAAGAAAACAAACTAAGGATGCATAACAGAGGCAGAGCACTTGCACCGCATGTATAAGCTCTAGATTCAACCCCCAATACCACCACCACCAAAAAAAAAGATTTAAGTAAGATTTCCCACCAGTTTAGACTATAAGGTGGTCAAAAGAATATTATCCGAACATGTTAGAACTTAATTCAGTTTATTTTAATAGAATATTCTATAATCACTATCAATAAGTTTATCCAAATCATCAACTTAATCCACTTTTCCACTAGGAAAAAATAAATGTTTTTTAAAGTTTTTAATATTAAAGTCACCTGGGGGAGACAACAGCTTATGTATGGTGGTGAGATCTCAAATGACTGCAACTGATCATGTCTACCCAAAGATAGAGAACTATGCTAGAAAACCCTCAATAAAATCCATGACCTCTTCTCCACAAAAGAGGTAAAAACTACCTCCAAGTCTCTTCCCATATATGAACAGTCTTAGCTACATGACTAATCTCAAGAGCTTGGTTTCTAGCAGATTGTATCATACAGCAGAATAAAGATTACACTACCTAACAAAAACAAGAAGTAAGCCAAGTGCAACCACACAGTTGCAATCACAGAAATCTGGGTAGAAGATTCACAAGTTCAAGATCAGACTGGGAAACTCAAGAAACTTAATGAAACCCTGCCTCAAAGTAAAAATTTTAAAAAATGGCTGAGGATGTAGTCCAAAATGAAGAGTCCTGGGTTCAATACTAGTATGGGGGAGGTAAGGGCCTGCCCTGCTAAAAATTGACAAATTAAAAAATACAGTAAGTATAAGTAAAAAGGAAATAAACAATAGAAACACTACTCATATAAATGCAAAGTAATGTGGAAAAGACTGGCACAAAATCAAATGTTCTTACTGTATGGCTTGTGCCTAGATTTCCTTCGAAAGCTTCATGCAGTCATAGGTGTAGTTTTTTCAAAGATGGCTGGATCTAGGATGTGTGACAGTGGGATCGATTCATGCAGCAATGCTAGGATCAAGGGCACTAGGATTAAGAATGTGGGTAATACCCACCCTAAGTAGCCTGGATAAGATATAAGGGATAAAAAGAACTGTGGTTGCTCCTCGTTGCTTTGCTACCTTCTGCCCGACATGAACTGTTTCTCCACTGCAATGCCTGTCTGCCATGACACCCTGCCTTGGATCCATCTGATGATGCAGTGAAACTTCTACAAACTGTGAGCTAAATAAACCTTTCCTCCCTTAACTTGTGGGTGTTGGATATTTTATTTAGGTAACAAAGACTAAGACACCTATCAACCTAATCATAACAGCATATGTAATATGTCTAATACTGTATCGTCTTATGATGCAAAGTACAACAAATATTCATGATTGTAACCCTAATAAAGCCAAATATCCAGTAAACTTTTAGAAAAAAACAAAATTTGTTAAACATATTTTATAAAAACTTTAAGCAAAAATGACTAATATAAAGAGCTGCTTCTTCAAGATAATTCATCCAAATATAACTTATGCTGTCAGCAACAGTGAAGCACTGTCATTATCAACCCATTTCCCATTATGGATAACTGCAAGAGCTTTTCACTATACTTGCATTAAGGGAAGAATAACTATTTTGTAAGTAGCAAATATCCCTAACATTTTGTCAGATCCCAAAGACCCTAGCACTACCCTAGGCCCTAGGCATACCCCCAAACCTGCTAAGTAAACAAAAGGAGGGAGCTAACAGTGATTTTGAACTTTAATATGTATTTTAAATATTCCTTCAATAAATAATTCTAAAAATAAACATCAGAGATATAATTCAGTGGCAGAGTATTTGTTGAGCATGTTCAAAGCTCTGGGTTCAGTCCCCAGCACTACAGAAAAATTAAATTAATGCATGAAGCTTAACATTCCAAGATATAAAATATATGCAAATAATTAATGAATTCTTTTTTTCAGAAAGAATGTTTAAATTCTACAATATTTAATTCAGCATGTAAGTTTCACCTTCTTCATTCAGACTGGAAGGAGAAAACAGAAAAAAAATTATATCACAATTTTCCCAATTTTACACTGACCTAGTTTTAAAAAGTGAATATTACATTTTACATATGCAGAGCAGTGTTGCTTAAAACTGGGTTTTAACAGTTTCATTTCAATAGTTTCTAATAAATAACATTTTCCAGCTGTCTCAGGTAGAACTTTCCTTAAAAATCATACCAGTATTTAATTCTTGGAAAAGGAAGCAAAAGAAGAAATACTAGCTGTCAAATGCCAGTGCTTTCATCTTGGACTTCCAGCCCCTAGGACTGTAAGGAATAAATTTTTACTCTTTATAATTTTTTAAAAAGAAAAAAATTAAATAATAATAAAGTTATCATATGAAAAATTCAGATGAGCCAATCCAACATGAGGAAACTGAACGAAGTACAGAACTAAGGTCTTGTGCCATTGCTATATGTAATGCCTGGACTTCTGTTCTACACATCCACAATGGCACTAGTATATGGCACTGTAGGAAAGATTCAAAAACCAAACTCTCAATTATTTTCTAAATACTGTACTCCAGTTTAAACAAAGAATCACTATTTAGATGAAGAGCTTAAGTTCCATACAAAATACTATTGACCCTGGGATCAAGTTTTAAAAAGTACTGTTCACTTAACTTAGTACACTATCCATGGAGACTACCTATATACTTAAAGCCTAAATAATCTATTATTCCAATATGATTTTTAACCACTATCATATTTAAAGTTAAAACCAATAATCAACTACTTTTACTAAGTACTAACCATGTTTCTAGTCCTTTATTTTAAGGTACAACAGTGCAAAGAACACAACTCCTGACCACCAAAGGCTGATCTACAAGGAATTAAATCCAACACACAACTCACAAACAAAAAAGTGTAAAAATCCTACTAAGCTCTAAATGACTGTAATCAAGAGTTTGGGAAGGAAGAGATTCCCAAATGTTACAGGCGTCAGGAACACTT